TAACAAGTGCCTTACTAGTAGTAGCAAGAAGCTAGTAGGAACAAGTGTACTCACCCAGTCTTTTGGCGCCTGATGCTGCTCCCGCTGGGTCGTGGTCACAGGTACACGGAGCAGGGCATCGCGCAGGGCCTTTTGTCCAGTTGCGACCTCTACGATCCTCAGACTGGCTCTTGGATTGAGGCACATTGTCAGACTGGCTCATGTACCCGGCGTTTTCTTTTTACACTCGCAACCTTTGTGGCAACCAACACCGCAGTCCACAGAGAGAGTTGTAAAGAAATGTAGAATGTAGCGTTATTAGTTATTACTACGTTTTTTGAATATAAGATGAACAGGGGTCCAGTGTTGGCGTGTTGGCAATGTGTTTTCTCAATGCCTAGTTGCCTGAAACGCAAATCCAATGAAGCCACGAAGGTCGACTTGGTCGTCTACCCGTTTGTCTCCCGAAACCATCAAACACCTGGTTTGCCCTGGGCTTTGGATACATAGAATATTTATGGATCATGGAAACTGCCTTACTTTTATTCTATGGTTTCGGGAGCTCCTGGTTCCTGGCTGGTCGGGCTATGTCGGGGATTGCTAGAATCCATCCAACCGACTACCAACCAATCAACCAGCCAGCCATCCAACCAACCAACCAACCAATACATACCTACCTACCTATCAACAGATACCAATGGTTCCATACCCCATGTCATAAACCCTGAACAACGATGGAGCTCGAGCTCCAACATTTTCCTCATTCCTTTTAGGAATGGTATGGAATGGTTGTCATTGCTCGAATCAAGTTCTTTTTCGACCTCCAAGAGTAGAGCCACAGTGAAGTAGAGAGACCTACATGAAAGGTATGGCACATGCTCCCTAAGTTGAGCTCACCATGATATTTGGATGAGTAGAGGTTGAGAATTGTCTTCCTAGCGAGATGGCAGATTTCGAGAGGTCGGTTGGTTCTGGAATTTATAGAAGGCACTTGGATGAGTAGAGGCTGGGGCAATTCCTTTTTCGATTCAGTGTTCTCCAAATCTTGGACCAAACAGACACGATAAACACGATTTCAACTACTGTATCCAAAGCTCGGGCTCAGTATTTTAGTGTGGAGAAGCTGTAAAGCTTGAGCACTTGGCTTTGTGGAGACTGCCTAAAATCCGGGGGCTGCATCCATACCTGTGAACCAACCAAGAGAAGTTTTCACCACAGCCCAGTTGGATGGGACGTCAATCCCTGCCACTCCTAGCAGGACGGTGCTGCTCCTTTGACACGTGCGCGATGGGGACATGGCTGTGCCTCATTGCAGGGTAAGGCAGACATAGCTGGGCAGTCACTGCAGCCGGATCGCTTGGGTTTGACTATACGGTTACTGTATAGCTATGGCAGGACTGCACAAATTTGATGAGATCTTCAATAAACATGTTGAGTAGGGTAAGCCGATGCCCATCGGCCACCGCGAGGTTGTAACACAAAAAATCAGCCCAAACACACAGGAGTTCGAACAACACCAGGCCTCCTTTGGCGGCCTCTGACCGATCGACACCCTCCGTGGTCGTCCTTTGGACCTTGGAGGTCTATGTGGTGGGTGGCTGTTCCTTGCAGCTGGAAGCACAGGCCGCTGAGGTCTGGCAGGGGGGAACGTGCCGTCCAGGGTTTGACAAGAACAAGAGGGATGTCAGCAGATTTGGGTGCAATGGCATGTTGAATATGGTTATTCAACTGTGTTTTTGAAATCCGTATTGTTTAGAGATTTCCAGCTTTGCCGGGAACTGCTACATGTGAAACACTGTTTCTAGTCGTTGATCAGACGTAGTTGAAGCAGCTTGACTTTTTGCCAAGAGTTGTGCGGAGTGTCAGGATTGGTACAATCTGTTCACCTCTGTATACATTTGCTAAGTTACTAAGCTGTTCCAAACCCTCCTTGAAACTGAAGCTTTAGAAACTATGCCCGGGGTCACCAAAAGTGGCCAGGGCTAGGCCACTCTGAGGCAGAGGATACATGTGTGAGGCAGAGGTTTTCCTCGATCACATCAAACAAATCTGCTGCGTAGTCATTTTCTGGCATGTGAACATGCGAAGATGATCATTGACACAGCTGCATAGCTATATAAGTATTGTGAGAGTGGGAAAAAGCTGGGCCATGCGGAAAGAGACACGAGAATACAAAGGCCCAGGGGTTGTTCCGTATGGTCTTAGGATTCCAACAACTATCCTCTGATATATCATATCATCCCTTTTAATGGTCCTCAAAGGCTAGCAGCCTAGGCTGATAGAATCTCGCTTGGTGCCGTTGACATGTCTTGCGACGCGCAATACATCCAATATGGGCCAGACCCACCGTGAATGAGATGTGAGCTGTTTTCGGAACGGAAGGGAGAGCTATACCACGAGCGATCGTCTCGTGTATTGACTTACCGTTCTGTATTCTCGACTACTTTTGGGACTCCTGGTCATTTGGTTGTGGGTCAAAGCCAGGAGACCTTGGTTGACCGTCAACCTACCAGGGTTTGGACCTCCAGGTTTTGACCCATCCCGATTTCATCTTTCCAAACGTCGAACTTTGGTCGAAACAAAACTCCCCCAGCGAACCCGGACCACGTGTGGCGCCACTCATGGCGCCAGGCCTTCATGGTGACCTTGCGGCACTGTGAGATCTACGATCCAGACCAGAACAGGTGCTCAGTGCTGGGTGGTGTCCAATAGTTTTGAATTGGGTCCCTCCTCCCATAATAGGTATACCGATCGTATCTGAAAAAAAAAGGAAGATTGATAGAAACCACGGTGATGTTAACTTTGCGAGGTCCCTGGCCCACTGACCGTCCGAAGCCAAATGACCAGGTGTGTTTTTATCTTCGTGGGGCAGTTTTTATTTTTTTACTGCACTGAAGCATCTTGGTAGGAGTTTGATTCAGCAACAGTCAAGATAGGGTAGTTTTATTCAGCAAAGGTCCAGATAAGAGAAGTTTGATTCATCAACAGTCAAGATAGGAGGAGTTGTGTTCAGCATGGTCAAGATAGGAGGAGCTTGATTCAGCAAAAGTCAAAGCAGGAGGAGTTTGGTTCAGCACAGTCACGATAGGAGGAGTTTTTTCAGCAACGGTGAAGATAGAAGGAGGTTGATTCAGCAACGGCCAACATAGGAGGGGTTTGATCCAGCAGCAGTCAAGAAAGGAAGAAGTTGTTTCAGCAACAGTCAAGATAGCAGGAGTTATATGATATTGAACAACAGTCAAGATAGGAGAAGCTTCAATCAGCAACAGTGAAGACAGGAGTTATTCAGCAAATTTGCGTCACGATAATTTGTCCTTTTCCTTTGCGATTGACTGGCCCAAAAACCTTGACCCTGACGTCCATTTTGGTTTCCCTTTAATAGTTGAAGCACTGTAAGTTGATCCAAGTGGTAGGTGAAGACCCCCAAAGGGGTCCCCAAATTATTGCAATCTCTTGATCTCATCCTCTCCAAGACCAGAGAACCACACAAACCTCAGAAGTCAGTATCCTTTGCAGTGCATCCAGATCCACTTGGATTTGATGACCTTGGGCAAATCAAAAAGTATTTTCTGTTTTTCTTTTTCGAACATAGCTCAAGTGCAACCAATTGCCAGTGGAAGTGGATGAAGAACGCCATGAACAACTCCAAATGATAGTGAAAATTGTCAGAACATATGACAGTCATGTCAAGAAAGGTGATACTGGCAAAGATGATTTTACGAAGTTATATAATTTGTATACGTTTTTCATCATTGGGTTGTGGAGAGTCCATTTTGCAAGCCTACAATATCCTGAAATAGTTTTCACGGGTTTCCACCTGTACGTTCGGACCTCAAATTACTTAGTCGTCAACTTAGTATTCAGAAAGGGTCATCCCAACTCGGGGCCATCCCATTCACATTCATGATTACTTCAGGTTTGGGCTTTGCATTTCCGGGGTCAGACCCTTTTCATCCTTTTTCATGTTTTTTTAGGTTATTTTTTCCCCCATATGCATTCATGCAGACCTTTCATGCCATCCACTTCCACTTAATTACATGAGAGTCCGTAGATATGCAGCTTAGTGATTGTAGAGAGCTCACATGCTGGGCCCCCAGCGGTTTTTTTCCACCGCTGGACATAGGTGGACGCCGACGGGGCCTCTACAGATTGCTCGATCGGGCACCCGCGTGGTCGCTCTAGGCAGAAAGGGCACTCCGTTTCGGTGGAGCTGGTTGGGGTGGGTGCCAGGGGTGTCTAACTAGGGAAACACGACTGAGCTATGGGGATATAAAGCAACGCGTAAGAGTCATGGGGTTGATATTGCTGCAAACTTAGCTGCCATGAGGAAAATCAGCCCTTTGACATATCATCAGTAGTATAATCATATATAATTTGATCCTTTTGATACAAGCTGTATACAAATCGATGATGAGTCGTAGGCAAGAGATTCACGTCGAAAAGCACTTTGTGTTCCGATTATGTGTATTGTTGTGATTTCTGTTGAAGCCGTCCAGTGGAGGAAGGAGCAGGAGTCCCGAGTCTAATCTCAAGAAGATAGGTCCAAGTGGGTCAAATGGCTCCCCAAATCTGTCCTCCAGTGCCACTCGACATCCTGCTCCAGTGGTATAGACCCCGCAAAAAGAATCGTTCGGCTGAGGGTGTCCGATGTATGTTTTGGAGTGCTTTAGGGGGCTTTAGAATCGTTCTTTTTAAGGCTTATGTTGAACCCCACACGATTCTATACGATACACCTTTGATAGCCAACAGAAGCCAACGGTGATGTTTTGTTTGTCCCTCCCTGAAAGAAAACTGACAATTCCAGAAGGAGTAATTGTTCCTTCCAAAACAAGCCAGATCCCTAAAGTGATCAAAATTTAGGATACTTCAAGATGCTGGGAGCAGGTCCTCCTACATATTTACAAAGTCAGACAGGCATCAGACACAATAAAACAATATAAAACAGAAAACACAACTATCGCGTCATGTGGAGTGAAGGAACCCAAATCATCGGCATCCTCCGATGACTGACCATTCTGGGACCCATCCATTCCCTTCACGGTTGAATATGGCCGAAATAGTTGAATCAATTTCACTTCGATTATATTGAATATGCCAGGACCATCCAATGGGTGTCCAATGTACTACCCTACCCTACGTAAATAGGTCTCCTACTTCAGGGCACCCAGACAGGAAGTACTAGGTATGCTTGGAGTGAACACTTCGCATTCTTCCAGATTCCCTCAGTTCCGTGAAAGATTCGAATGCTTCGTTCCGGGAAGCGCAGATTCCAGCCACCTGGCCGCCATCGGCGGCTGCGATGACGTCTTCGGCCGCGCCGAGACGCAGCCCACCGTGGCTCGGAGAGAGATAGTCTGACGGGGGGCAGCAAGCAGACGATGGTCTGCCCGAAGTCATCACGGGGAAGTGGGTCCGCCCACCTGGGGGTGTAGAGAACATGGAAGTGTAACATCCATCTGAACTTGGGAGTGTAGAAAACATGGAAAGGCCATCTGGGACCGTAAGGGAAAATGGTCTTCGAATGGCCCACATTCCACTTGCCATAGTGAGTCAGTCAGAGTGTAGGTGGTATTACCTGGAGTAGGCAGCTGAAGTCCTCAGCCCATGGTAAATTGTGAATGTACTCAAAGGCTCAAATCCAAGATGGTAAAGGTCGGAGGGTTGACTTCTATAATTATAGTTGACGGATGTTGCTTTCTTTGTCCAAGTAAACAGACACCTCTTCCATCCTCTTCCACCTCTCAGAGAAAGCCTGCAGGTGGAGCTGTATGACGCGCAGACGGAGGTGTGGTCAGTTCTCTCCCACCGCTTGATCCACCCCAGGACGCACCCGCATCAACGCGCGGCGCGGGTGCCCGACCGAAACCGAAGGTCGGAATCGTCCGTGTTTTCATCCGACCTCTGGAGTTTCTTCCGATCGGGAGAAGGACGATGAAACGAAGGACGGCCCAGCTGGAGAAGCACCATTTGGCCGTGGGAACATGTTTCCGACCTGTGGTCTGGATTTGGCAGGTCTCCACAGTTTCGGGGGGCATACGACCTAAAGCATCCCAAGGATGTCTAATGCTGGTTCATTTGTATATTGCAGTTCCAGTGGTGACCTAGTGGATTCTGAAAGCTTTTGAGACACTGAGTTACTGGTACTACTCTAGTTTGATCCACTTGGTGCAAGGTGATTTCTGACAGGTTCATCTCTTTCGGCATGTCGAGTCAAATTGCTTCAGACCCGGCCTCACAGTGACGGTCATTGCTGGTTGAGACCATGTCTTTTGAATGCCTGGATGGATGTCTAGAATGGACAACCGTAAACAAATACATACTAATTAATATGTATATATTATATATATATATGTGTGTGTCATACACGTGTTTTCCCCAAACAGCCATTTCCTATGTAAAGGATCTCAATTGCCATACTAATACTGGAATAACCATTTGTTTCTGCTTTGGACTGGGGAAACCCAGGTGGGTTGGTATTTTCAACAAGCAGGCCCCTGGCCCAATGAGTTTTGGTCTATGTTTCTCTTCTTCCAAGGGATATTGGGAAGATCTCCCTCTGAGAAGGCCGAAGCTCAGAGCATTTGAAGTATGCTCAAACTTGCCACGGAACCAGGCATGACATTTGTGGGGACGGGCCCTTCAACAGTTGATTCTGGAGAACGGTTTTAATAACATTGAACAGGATTTGTAATTGAAGCAGCTACATATCCATGTTGGGATTTCCTGTTGGATGCTTCTCAAATGAATTCCATGTTGAGATCACTCCCAGTCGTCCCAGTCTAGTAGGGCTGAGGCCTGAGGGTGTTGAGAAGGGGGGAATCGCGACCCGTCGGAAGACACTGAAACCACAAGGAAAATCAAATTCCTGACATCCACTTGGCAGTGCCTTCAGTGTTTTTTTCTGTGACACCCAACTCTCTTCAATTTGGCGAAGACCACTCTCAAATAGGTACCGTGCATTTCCCGCAGCATTTGGCATACTTGGCAAAACCTGAAAGTTGCGCGACGTGACGATTCGATACAAACATGGCACTTGCCATCGACGCTGTCACTGAAAGCACTCTGGTTGCAGCCACTGAGTGGGGAGGGTTTGGGCAATCATGGAATGTAGTTCCTGATACATTCTAGTTTACAAAGAATCCCAAGTGTGTATTTTTCAGTTTCTACAATTCCAGTTATAAAATGTTATAACATGGTGTCCACCAAGGCCTGTTGTGAGCGCTTGACTTCTGCTCACTACTCAATAGCCATTTCATTCGGGAAATTCAAGCTCACAATCATGTCAACAGCTAAAGAGACCACCTGCCCCTTGATGTCCAGGTTCAATCTTGATTGAACAACCTTGCTATTTGGGACGACAAAAAAATGGTATTTATCAGCGTTGACATGTGTATTAAATATATATATATATATTCTACTGTATAAATAGATATACACATTGTATCATATTGCAACCTGAAGATACACTTTAAATCAATTTTGCCGAACGCACATGCTCACAACAGTGCCTTCCAACATGTTTTGAATTGACTGTTGGGCATTGGGCACTCGCTAGTAGCTTACATAAATTAAGTAGGTGCCTACTTAATTGAGTAAGGAGGCAGGGTCACGGGCAATATATATATATATATGTACATGGCTCCGATGGTGGCACAGGGCCGGACGGGCCCGCACCAAATCAACATCTAGACGAAGACCGAAGACAATACACCAAACCAATGGATAACGTGGAGTGTTTGTCTCGTCCTTTGTGCGGGTGTACCCATTTGTTTTTTTGGCCCTCAATCGGTGCTTTGACTGTGGCTAGAGTATACAATACTCTTTTGACAATATGTTCTTGGTTTGTTTGTTGATCTGGGAGGTGGCTTGAGGTTGTCGGCTTTGTTTTGGAAAAGGGATGTTTGTGAGACACACCTTGAGGAAAGGAGTGAGAGAGAGAGAGAGATTGTATGTTTGGGTGAGGCCCTTTGGTGACGGTGATACCTAGTCAGGAACCTGAAGGGGTTATATAGTGGCAGTCCCACTTCAGTGCGAATAGCTATCACAAGATTTCACAAGTAGTACAGATTTGTGCCAGGAATCCTGTGGACTTTAATGCATATAGTCTTTGCTCAGAAGAGCAAAAACTACATGCATGCACATGCCAAATACCGCTCGCACGGCAGTGCAACTCTGAGGTATGGAGACGGAGAGCCACATTGGGTCGGACTTGCTTCATGAATCTCGGAGGGATTGGTGAACCTATTGATAAAACTATTGTTACCTATTGAGTCGTTTGGTTCATTGCTACATCATTTTTGTGCCAAAGACATGTGGTTGGTGCTGAGCTGATCAACATAACATAAGCACAGCTCGTCCAAGATGCCAAGAGGCTTTTGACATGTGATGTTGTGTCACGGTGTTCCAGTTTTTCTTTGGTGTAGAGAGACTAGAGAGGAGTCCTGATGTTGGTTGGGAAGGAGGAAGAGACATGGAGAATATTGACTGGGTTGATTAGGATAGGCACGAGTAAATCAAGTAGGTCAGACTACTAGGCGGTTCATGTCATGTGCGGACTGAAACAAACAACTCTTCGCCAGTTGACCCTGGCATCACGTGTGTCTTCACCTCAAACCTTTCCCCCACACAGTCCGCTTAGTTCTCTGGCTGCTGGGATCAATATTCCGGCTGCTGCTTTCCGCGCCGGGAATTGGTCGACTACTCGCTGCTGAGAAACAGACACGGCAAAGAAAACCGCCCAAACAGCAGATTGAGGAGCTGATGATGCCCAAGGCCGAGGATGAGGAGCTGGGATATCCGCCCTGCTTGTTGACGCACATTGGACTCTTGTTCTTTCCACCTCGTCGGCGAAATTAACAAACACGGAGTGCGCGGTGAATCTTTGTGGGTGTTCCGGGATGTTGGGGTGGTGGCGTGAGACTCAAAAAGACTAAATGAACAGGTGAACTTTTGGTATCTGGTTTCAGATTGGGCAGGCTGGCTTGTGCGCTGTGCTGGGCAGCTTGAAGCTGAAAAATCACTGAAAGATAGCTTGCCCCCTGCCTACTCCCTTTTGCCTACCCGATAGATTTGTTTGTTCAAACTCTGGGGCTTCTTTTGTACTGTAGACTGTGATCGAGTCCAAACTGATTGAACATTTCAAGACACAGCCCTATATATATATAGTTCACAATGGACTCATTAGTTCAGTTCATTTCGGTTATATAATGTTGATCAAAGGTGTCGATGTTGAGATTGTTGAGATCCTGTTTACAAGACCCGGATGTCAATGCAAGTATTTCATTAGCTTGGTGGCAGGGCAACTCATCGTCCCAGTTTCCAAGGAGGATGCACAACATTTGGATCTCCTGGAGATATGGGTTACCAGGTGTTCACGTGTTTCCCACTAGGAGCTGATTCCGTGCAATGAAAGGATGAGAACAGTGAAGACTCTTGAAGTCAATCTACTACTGCTATCTCTACCTACTGCTTTGCTTGTTAGCTGATTGTGTTCAATACCTGTTAAACGTCACACTGCGCTATCACATGGCTGGACGCATTGTATCCGTGGCCCGCATCCCAGGAAAGTTCGCACCGTACAGCAGCAAGCTGAAGGTTGAAGAGACAGGGCAGCTTGGATTGAGACAGGGCTCCAAGGGGATGACAGAGCTGCAAGTGATTTGATCCTGAAGACCGACTTAAGGTTCCCTATCTCCCTGAATATTGCATGTGCATGTGAATGTCCTTATCTCCCTTACTAACCCTGGCAGACCGTTGGACCGTACCCATTCGGTTGAACCGTCGATCTCGGTTTGATGAATCCCTCGATCTCAGCATAGGCATAGTCCTCTCCGATATCACTTCACTCATTCCGGGAAGTTTGGGAAGTTGGGAACACAAAGAGCTGCCAACTGAAAGGACCATCAGAGGACCTCCATTGCCAGTTAAACGTTTGTCGTTGTGTTTGATGTGTTTAGAATACCCAGAAGGACCTGTGTAAAACCCACCTTTTGGAGATCCCGAAGTCGGGATTCAGTTCCATGTAGTTTTCTTGTGAAAGGATCATGAAGCTCAATGCACCTTCAAACGAAGCAATTGCATGCAATTGCACGGATACCCTACCCGCCCAAACACACACACACACATGTTTTCCGGTTTATTGCTCCGTAGGTTGTCCTTCCAGCACTGTGTCCAGCGTCAGTTCGACATTGTTTCCTGGTGCTCACCATGTGTTGGATATACGAGAGCTGCAAGAATGCACACTCTGAACTTGCATTGACGTTCTGGAGCATTCACACCCACGTGCAACCGCAGGAACCGCATCCACCGCAGGTCTTCGCCCTCCACGGCCTCCGAGTTGCGCTTGGTCGAGGAGACGCCCACGGGCAGCGCCGTGGTACTGAGACGCCCACGGGTCACCGGTGGGTCCGCAGAATTGGTGAGGTGAATTGGAGTCCATGCCCCTGTGTCCAGGAGTCTCATGTTTGACCCTCCTGTTTGAAACAGTGGACAACCCCCCTGTTGGGTATTAACATCGTTTTTCCAGGGGCCATGCCATTCACTTCCAGGATTGTGGGAGGGAGGGTACACTAGACTGTTGATTGATACAACCAATCCCCCGATTTTGTAAAATCTCTCAATATGGTGGGGTGTTTTGTTCATCAACGGTCTCTATTGCGGGCTTTGGAGGAGAGGAGTGGAGGAGGGTCAGGATGGCCAGGCGCAAAATGGAGCGAACGATGGGGTGTGACAAGGACCATCTCTCTTTGGGTGTCCAACGGACTACTCTACACATGACCTAAGGGATCTCCATTGAACCCGCATTGGATGGTCTAGGTAGTTTTGTTCATCCGCACTTACTGGCAACCACGTCA